TTCTGTGATTCTGTATTACTTGGACACTTCCCATCAGATTAAATTGCTTTCTAAATTACAGCAGGTTCAGCAGGTGGAAGTATTTAAAAAGAAAGTTCATCATTTTGCTTCCTAATCTCTTGTAAATCTACAGACGTGCCAGCTGTTAAAATAATCGTAACATTTCTTCATTAGTTTGTGTTAGTGTTTAGGAAAAAAGAAAAACAACCCAAACCCCAAAACTATTTACCATTAAGTACTCCATAATGAAAGCACTCTGTGTATTTGTTTTTTTTTTTTTTTAATAAACCTGAAAACTGATTTATTCCTTTTAAATGTTGCTCATCTCTGCATTTTGCCATGTGACATCTATTTAATAACTGAATTTCAATTTCTGCCTTTTATTAGACAAGCTTCGATTCTGAAGATGGACCATATGTTTACAATACCCTGAAAAAAGTATTTAAGCAAACACTGGAAGAAAAAAGAAAAAAGCTGAAGGGAGGAACAGAGAATCCCTCTTGATTTCTGCACAGTGATGCTGAAGGATTAGATGGCTCTACCAAATTATTTTGCATTTTCCAGCTACTGTAATTTGTGCTATTTTGCATGATTTACCTAATGTTAGGTGGCAGCCATTCTTAACAAAACACTTTATTTTTTTAGAGGGAGTTTTACTGTGAACTGTTCTATCTACATGGTTCTAAGGAACAGCTCCTCTTTGTACTGCAGCTTTTTGATTTCTAGTACTGTTTTATTTTATGAAATGTTCACTTGTTTTTAGCTGTATTTATTATTTAGAAACCTCTGTAATTGGCAAGCTATGCTTTGTACAAGTTACACAGTTGCCATAAATTATGTGCCATGGTACAAAAAGTTTGAATGGATTGAGTTACTGTTTATGTATTCAGTATGTTTACATTAATGTTACTTGATTTTTCTTTGAGGACAATAAATACTGACTGAAATAACTCTCCTTTTAGAAAATTTAAAATAAGAGAAATAAGTAACAGATCTTGAGGTCTCCTCTTAACAGCAGATGAAATAATTGCCACCAGTGCTTTCCTCAGAGGTGCTCCACTAGAGAAGTACATCGCATTCTTTAAGTCATAAAGGTCTTAATTTAGAAACTTTTGTCAAAAAAAAAAAGGCTTCTAATTTTTTCCTTAATGGAAAATGAGTTTTGTCTTCTTAAATGCTTTGAATAAATTATTTGTTATTAAACTTTCATTGATTTTAAGTGAAAAAAAATATTTAATTATCAGACTTCTGGCCATACTTACGTTTAGCAAAAACTTACATAAATAACTACCATAAAATAACACTCAAAAATAATCAGTGAAGATCTTATGATCTCCAGTGCACTTTATAGAACTATTTTCATCTAATAAGACAGAAAACAACTGGTATATCATCATATCTGCAGTTTTTGATTACAGCCTTAGGATTCAGGATGGATTATCAGGATGCCGGATTAACAGTTCACCCATTTTGATATATATGTAGCTAGACAAGAATTTGTCATTTAAAAAACATTTTTATTTGGCACTGCAAATGACTATTTGGAATTAAAAGTAGACCAGTTTCATATGTGTATACATACATTAACTTTTAGATGATTATATATCAAATTCAGAGCAAGTTCTTTGGTAGAACCATCCTGAAGGTAGCATGCTTGAAGGTAAAACACTAGATATGAAATCACAGGCATGAAAGCAGCTTTGTAGGAGTGGGACGTGGTATGCAGCTTAGCTTTAGCCAGCATGTCTTAGCAGTGTGATTTTGGAATACTAAGATACATTTGCAGGTGTCATAGTTTCCCAGGGAATTACTTCTGCTTATGAAAGCTGAGCAGTTCCAAATAGGCAACACCAATTCCTGGTATGATACATAGAGTTTGGAATTGTTTAAATGAGGGGTAATTAACAAGGACTGCATGTCATTAAACCTAGCTAGAATAATCTGTTGTGAGTTAATGGCAGGTGTTTGCACTTGAAAAATTACCTACAGGCTGTCCATGCAGATGGATACTGTAGAACTGGGTGCTTTTTTATGTACTATTTTTTCTTTGTTTCAATGACAAACGTGGTAGCAATTACCAGCAAACAAACCACACCTGACTGAATCCATCATGGAGAAAAGAAACCAAGAATAGCCCATCTAAATGAATAATCAAGCCCACAGACTTCAGCAGCATCCTATTAAGTCATTTCTTACCTGAGTGATGTATTTATTTTCCACATCATTTTCTCGTGCTCTTAACCTGACTCAGATTTGTGTTACAGCCTTGCAGCTGTGGGCTATGTGTGGGCAGATTTCTCTTCATGCTTACCAGGAGCACTGCTGGGACACACTGACAATCTGTTACCTAAACACACTGCAGCAAAACAGCCATGAGCTAGTGGCAGGATGGGACAGGAGGACCCCATTTCCTGACCCAGAGGTTACCTCAGTATCAGCAGCAGCAGTGGAGTACCCCTCTGCAATAGCTACTGCAAGAGACTGCTTAAAACAGTCTCTGAGCCTTACTGAGTCTTGTCAGAAGTGCAGATCCACAAACCCCAACAAATGCCATACTGGAGAAACCCTGCCACTGGTGCAGCACTGCCCATCTCCATAACATCAGGACTCTTCTTCTTGATCTTCTCCCACCTCAAGTCCACAAGCCAGCTCTCTTCTAACTTGTAGCAAGTTACAGTGACCATCAAACTGTCATCAGAGGAGTCCTGAATAGAGAAACATGCAAATAATGCCCCATGTGCTCTTCTCACTCCCCATCCATCAGCAAACTCAGTCAGCTGTTTTTACCTATGGGTTTCCATACAGAGATGTAACTTTTTTTTTTTTTTAAATAAGATGGAAATATTTAAAAGAAAAAAAATATTTGTGAAATTTATACTACATCTTGGTCAAAACAACCAATAGTCTGAAAAATAGTTGGATCTTCCCTTCATTTTGACTCATGGATGAAAAAGAACCTTTAACTAGTAAACAAATACCTCTTGCTGCTTCTTTTCCTTGGCTCCAGTTGTCTCCTGAGAACAGAGCTGCTCTGAGTCAAACACTTCAGTTCTTCTCTCTCCACCTGCACAGAAACAATGAGTTGAGATTTTCCTGTGGCTCTCGGATCAAAATCTACTTATTCTAGGTCTGAATCTGCCAGCATATCAATTGTGCACAGCTGCTGATAAAGACTTCTCCGATAGGATTCTATGTATTTTGAAGTGTAAATAATTCACACACACATCTAGCTACTTTATAAAGCATTTTGAGAAGGGAAAGTGATCTTAATTCTCTGATCACCAGTGTCTTCAGGGTGCAATATTTGCTTCATTCTTTTGCTTTAGGGTTGCTGGAAAATCAATAAAAACCCATCAAGAAAGAATAAATTTAGATTTATTGCTGTTCCATCTTCTCGCTCTCCTGCAGCAGAATGCAGAGCAGAAGAGAAGCAGTGGACAATGACAGACAGCAGCTCGCTCAGGAACACAGTGCATAGCACAGTCTCACTAAAGAAATAAGCAGTAAAGGTTAAAATGAAGAATTCCCTTCATTTCAGTGACACGGGCTAAGAGGTACAGCGGCACTCCCCGCCCACTTTGCACATCTATTTTCCACAGAGGACTGTGCAGTTGGTTTGTTTTGGAGTTACAACATATGACAGAGTAGCAGATTAATAAATATTGGATAGGGCATGTTTTGATCAGCATAACCTAGCTTTTTGGCACGTTATCACATTTACTCTAAAGAATAAGCTGAGGCCAGTTAGCATGAAATGCCTGCATAAGCAACACAGCCATAGTGAGGATGGAGGCTGGGTCCTGTCCCCACAGCCCAAGCAGACAGAATTCTTCCTTGAATCCTGGTTGCATCGCAGCCCCGCTTGACACCAAGGAAAGGGCTCTACCAACAGAAAGCAAACGTTATGTCAAGATACTAATTTAGAGCACAGAAAATTTAAAGAAAATATCCTCCACAATAACTTAAAGCAAAAAAAAAAAAAAAAGAAAAAAGCATTCAGTGTTGGCACTATCACTGAGTGCTTTAAGTGCTGAAAATAACACTCTACTTCCCACACAAGGTTTCCATGCACCTCCATTGATACTTCCCCTCACATGCCTATTTTTACACCTGCACATCCTATCTGTTCCAGAGCACCTGCTGCCAGTCTGCACCACCTGATGTGAGCTGTAGGACACAGATCATGGAAAAAGGAGGACTGAAGATGAGAGCAGCAACAGGCTGCTGTTGGGAAACGGAGAATACAAATTATCTTCTACATTTACCAGTGACTAGACGATCCTGATTAGCCTGCAGTCAGACTGAACACTCAAGCAGGCATTTCGTTTTCAGTGGCTGGAGTAGTGCCTCACCACTTATTCCTTTCACTTTCTCTGGGAAAGGTCCTGAATCAGAAAGATTAGGAAAAAAGTAGCTCTCCTTCACTACAGAGCTGAGGCCTGCTGGCTGCACTGAACATAGAAACCTTTCATATATTTCAGTATCTGGCAGTAGATTGCAGAAACTTGTTACTGGAACATTCCTCAGACAGATGCCATTTATACTTTCAATATCATGAGTGATCCTGTTCCCTAAAAAAATGTTTTAAAGCAGTTAGTGATAATGTAAGAGACAGTGCTAGCAAGGTGTGGGCTGACTTTCTGGAGAAGCTTTCAGCACAAAACAATGATAATGTGAATTCAAATGACTGAACAAAAGCAAAAGACGATTCTAAAAGAAAAAAAAAAAAAAGCAGGTAATAAAATAATTTACCACCTCAAGGAAATTGTCTTGCATTGAGGCGTAAAACTCTTCTAATCAGAGCTACAGATGCTGAGCAACTTCAACATCTGAGTGTTAAACACCCAAGGAAGTACCTAAATCAAGCCCAAGGTGTTGCAACAAAAGGGAACATTCTGGTGTAATACAGCGATTCGCACAGGGGCCTGGTGAGATCAGAGATGCAGAAGACCCAATTAAGCTGTCAGGGGGAGCAGCTGCTGCCATGGAGCTATTAGTACAGAGATATGAGCTGGTTCAAAAATGCCAGGCTGCCAGCAGAGAGGGGCTGTGTGATGCAGTCAGAGACCAGCACAGAGACCTTTAGAGGGATGCTGTTGGGCCCCATATGCCTGGAGCTGTTCACCCCTCCTGTCCTGGTCCTGCACAACTTCGGCAAGCAATGCATGGAGAAGACACACTGAGAACAGAAAATAAATGGAACACAGTTATTTTAATATTCATGTCTTAGAGACTTCTGTAAGTGCAAAGTCCCCCATGAAGGGCTTCCTTAGGGATAATTCTGCTGCCATTAACACGCGTCGGTTTAAAACCTCCTCACAGTCCTTATGGAGACAAAAGTTAAGTTCTGATGATATCTATATTCCCTGTATATGAATGAACTGAAAGTGTCTATGTTCCCTGTCTAGTGTGCAAATAAACTGTGACTTCAGAGAGTAACATGTTCAAACTGGACTCTCACAGTGCTCTTCAGACTTGCTTCTGAATATGAAAAGTAAAAAATGATACAATTCTTGCCTGTTAAGAGAAATTACAATTGTCTCTGCTTGATTTGCTGAATTCTGTATTCCCAAATAAACAATGCAAGTCTTGTGATTTAAGATAAACTCTTTATATCCAGATGCAAAGTACGGGCGGCTGATGGTCATGAGCCTCAAAGTCACAAATACATGGTTGAATGAAATGGCTGCCTAGATATTTCTGCACTATTTCACTATGGTTCAAAACTCATTAATGTAAATAAACATAAATTATGCATTTTTTCACATAAGACTGAACTATCAGAAAAATAAATTGTTCCTGTAACCCTCAAATTATATTACTTTTTTTCCCCTCATTTAAAGGTCACTTATTTGAGGAACAAAGGAATCACTGGCCTGATAAGAAGAAAACCTTCATCCATAGGTACCTTGAGTTTGAATAGTTCCCAGGGTCAAACATAGGTAGCCTACTGCTTGAGAGAAAAACAAAGAATCACAGAATGACCCAAGTTGGCAGGGACCATGAGGATGATCATGCCCAGCTCCTGGCACAGAACCACCAAAAACCAAACCCTATCTCTGAAGGCAGTCTCCGAACACTCCTCGAGCTCCAGCAGCTTGGGGCAATGTTGGCGGGCACGATTACTTATATT